TGACTAAATATAACAATGTATGACTAATGTTGCACTATCTCACATTCCAGGGACAGGTTATAAATGTTATTACAGTTGAACAAAGTCAATTCACCTTGTAAACACAGAAAAATAGCTCAGACTCAGAATCTACAGGGTTATTCAATTAACATGCTTACATTTCACCTTCTACCAAGCTAATGAACCACCATCACCTCCTTTTCCCTTTACCCCCCACGTTCTCACCACTCCATCCTCCATCTTCCTCCCTGCTTCAGCACATTAATCTCTCATTAGCAGCCTCTCCCCCTCTTTCTCTCCAACCTTTTCATTCTAACACCAGCCATTACGCACACATGCAAGTATATATTGCCATAAGGCCTGTGTAGTTTCACCGGTGCTTCAGAATCCTCAGACAAATGAGGGGCACAGGCAGCCATTTAAAGGGCACCAATACAGAGCAGAAGAGCCCCAGTGAATGGAGCCCATACAGGGAGAGATAATAGACTTAAATAGGGCTAACATGCTGCACAGCCAGATTATTTCTGTTCATGCCCACATACACACACACATGCATAAAACACAAATGGATGAGCCTTTTCATACCCAAGGACAGACAAGGAAAGCATGTGTTCACATGTGAGCAGCAAGAGAAAATGTAGAGCCTCATATGCAGCGTAAATGCATATAGGAGAGCAGGCTGGTTGCTATCTGGATCTGGAGTGAGTCAGAGCGCCAGGCTGAATTTAAATGACTCAATGCAGATTAAGATGTCACTGTTTCAATAAAAGCAAAGGCAAGAGCAGCATGTAGGAGGTCAAATTAACCCCTTCCACATCCGGGCTCCTTTTAAAGCATCTCTGGCTGGCTGGTTAAGAGGTTACCGCAAAGCACACAGACATCAGCTACTACTGTAACACACACTGCTGCAAAGTCTACAGCTGCTTAGAGGCATACTGATTTTATTTTCATTTTATCCTCTACATGATAATAGTTAGAACCTATTATAAACCTCATTTCATCTAAACTTTATAATGAGGAGGGAAGATCTAATACTCACTTTCACCCAAACTGTGTGCCTTTATTACTTCCCCAAAACATCTTATCAACTGCTCAGGGGTTAATTAATTCAGCATTTCCAACTTCCTAATCATAATCAAGTACAGTAATTACTGAAATTTCTCAATGCAGCTATATAACAAAAAATGTCCAGTTGGCTAAAACACAAAACCTTGATTCATAATATCACCAATTCTGCCTCATTGAACAGAAAAACTGTGAAAGTACACAGCATGATTTTGTTACTTATACTGTTCCCAAAGGACAAAAAGGAACTTCCAAACTTGCTTAAAAAAAGACGAAGAAGGCTGATATTTCTTCAGTGATTCTGACAAAACTTTCTCAATTTCACAAACTCTGGCACAAAACATCTAGACTACACAACATTGTGCATGTTGATATATACAATCTAACTGCCACATTTTCTGATTTTTTTTATGATGTAACTTTGACAGCCTTAACATGAAGCTAGGCAAACGGTTATCAGGGGCCTTAAGGGTTTAATCATAGTTATAGTGTTAGAAACGTGGACATCTATTTTATGCCTTTGTGTGTGCTTTAAAATTATGCAGAATGATGAGTTTAGCCTGTAGGTCAGCTCTGAATGTTGTAGTTCAGCTTTGTGCTCTGCACTACTCATGAGGAAGTGAGCTGTAAAATCCAGAGGGTGGAGTTTCACTGAGGCTTAAACCTGTCACCATGAAAGAAGACTTCAGTTATTCCCTTTACATATACTTCTCATTTTCATTCCAGTTCAATGTGGAGAATCTGAGCATAGAGAATTATCCTGCAAAGCATTGTTGAGGTGAAATCTCCTCAGAGAGGTATTTTTCTCAAGTGTGTCTGCTGTATTGTGCTGAAGATAGATGGCATATCCCAAGTTCTCAAGCATTACACTAGTACCACAGTTACAGTGCCTCGATTTTCAGCCTATTTTCCTCAAAGACATTTCACTAGTGATGTTGATAACTCCCTCCCAAGGTACACATATCCACAAATGGTCGAGAAGCTATTCAAGTTCAAAGACTCACAGACTCTATCAGAGTCACTCTGACTGTCCTCAGCTACAGCACATCACCAGCAATGGCACCTTGACAGCGAGGCAGAGATCCATGAAATCATCTTCATGCTGGCTGGCCTAGTGTTTCACAATAAAGCAGGCAGACTGTTTGGCAGACTGGCATTTTACTTCCGGCATTTCCACACGAGAGCCACAAATTTCCAGTCTTTATGCCAGTTTCTTAAAAAAAAAACACACACACACACGCAGACTGAAATCTGCATCCAGTGTGCATGTTAAAAACATCTCTTAACGTTTCATCTAAGTGCTTCATCATTTGCAGGTGACACAGGTCAACACTAAACATTTTCTTCCACCACAACTGACACTCTTCTGCGCTAGCCTGTAATAGTACTAAGATGCAGCACATTCACAAAATCTGATCATGTGTATCAGACATAATTTGCATAATTTTCAGTCACAAATTAATACATATTTGGTGCTGTAGTGACTCTTTACAGCAGCAGCATGGAACATGTGGGACTGGCTCAAAATAAACTTCATTGCTAATCAGCATGAAGGGACACAACAGTGCTGCCCATCGATATGTTCTTAACAGTTTTTGGACAACAATTTAGCCCTGGGCCACAAAGAAATAAAGATCAGGCTGTGGATACACAAGCAATACATGTTAGATGCATCTGTTCATTGTTGCTGGTGGTGTTGTTTAGTTTCATCTAATTTGCTGACAATAACAACAATATAAAATATCACCAGTCATATCCTTTAAAGCAATTTTGCCTAGACTTTAAAAAGACATTGGTGATCACTGTGCTAGGATCAAAAGGAGGCACTGTTGGAGTACACTAGTACAGAGTCAAGTATCAAAAATAAATTCTCATCCTGTGGGAAATGATGAATTCACCACTGCTGTGCCTAACAAATGCCTTGACCATTGTCTCATTTGTTAGTGGTAATTATACAGAGGTGTCAGCTTGATGTTGATACATTAGTGTGTAAACTACTAAAACTAGGGCAGTAGAAAATTTATGAGATAACCAACAAGATACATTTCTATTAACATTCCAGGAACACTAGTAACTCCATAATGAGGCAGTACTGTTAATCAAAAGTTAGTAGAATATATCAGAGGATCTGGGTCCATAGAACAATTATCAATATCAATGGGGACATACAACAACATTTGTCCACCAATTATCTCCATCGGCCTATTTGACAGCAGCACCCAAAGCAGCTGAATGGTCTAGTCTCTCTTCATAAATTAGCTTAGTCTTTCATCTCCCCTTCCCAAATGTATGCTATGCCCTTAAACGTCACATGGTAACTCTGCCTATTCATAAGTATTATCTCAGGGCCTTTGATAGTGGAGTAAAACAGTGAGTGAAAAGGAAAAAGGAATAGAGACAGTGGGAAATGTAAAACAGGGGTGAAAACAAGCAGTGTGGTTCGATCTCAGATTCCCCGCTGGCCCTGAGCTATCAAAGCCTTTGATTGGCTCATGTAATTCTGCTCTGATTTGGCAGATCAATGGGGAGCAGACCTACTTCCTGTGACTGTGCAGCCATTAGACTAAAGCTGAAAAATCTTTCAATCAAAATTATTTCTTTCATTGCTAGAAATGTACAGCTCATACACATCCTTGCCTGTACTACAGAGATGAAGTGCTGCTCTTTTCTTATTGCACCGGTCACTGAGTGCTCTTCTAGCAGCTGCTTCCATTTTCTTATTGCCTCATTTCAGTGTCTGTACTGACTGGGTGACACAATGCCTGTTCAATACAAGCAAATGCTTAAGGATAATTTAAATAAAGATGTTTTAGTTCTGCAACAACAGACCTTGCCTTATAATCACTGTGAGTTTTCTTCAGTATTGGTAATCCAGCGATAGTTGTTATTAAAGAACTGTTAATAGCTATTTTAGCTAAAATGTAGGACTAAATAGTTATGATCACAAAATGAGAGAATTTTAAGGTAAAAAGGGGTAGCCATGGCTCAGGGTAGAGCAGGTCAACCTGTGATCACTGGGTTGACGATTCAATTCCTGCTTTCCCCAGTTCACATGACAAAGTGTCCTTGGGCAAGGCACTGAACTCCAAGTTGCTCCCAGTGTCTTGCACGGCAGCTCCACCACTAACGGTGTGAGTGTATGTGTGAATTGGCGTATGGGTGAATATGTAAAGCATTTTGTCCAGGTAATGTAGAAAAGCTCTACATAAGTGCAGTGTATTTACCAGGTTCACACACACACACTACACCCCCTCGATTACCAAACAAACATAACAACACTTCATTCTCTGCTTAATTTAGCCATTGATTTTATAACACCACACCACACCACAGATAGCAAAAGACATCAGGCTGCAGTGTTTTATGGTTTTTGCAGGAACCTCGACCCCAAGTACACATGCACACACATGCATGCACACACAAACACACTCTCACTTAATCATAGTGAGAGAAGAAAAGAGAAAAGTTTCAATGGGGATCATCACCAAAAATCGCTATTAGGGAATCTACAGTAACCATGGCAGTGTGTGTGTGATTGTTGTTTGTGTGTCCAGCTGCTGGCCCCTTCGGTGTGTGTGGCTTTGCTCGGAGTAGATGCGAATCAGCAGACAATCTCAGACACAGCTGCAGTGCCACACATGTACATGTACATTTATGCAGCCTCACGCATACACACTCACAGACACAGCTGTCTTAACAAGATGGGAACCCACAACCTGCACATTATTTAAACAATTTTGACACATCCCAGATCACAGCAATTAAAAAAATGCATTGGTATTGGGGGGGTCTAACATTTGACATGGCAGACCTCAGTTCTAATACATGATTGTTTGCTGATATTGCATTACACACTTTGCCTCATTTTCCTGTTTCGCTTTAATAAAAACCAAACAAGTACACAAACACAATATGAAGCCATGTGGCTGACTTACAGGCATTGGTGACGGCGAAGCTGTTGGCCGTCTCAATGTTGTCCACGTGTGGCACCAGGTTGAACGGGGCTTCTGAGGCATTTGGGCTGGTGTTGTGCAGGAAGATTGCCAAACGAAAGGCCGTGTACTCTTGATCAGTGTTTCTGATGAACAGACCGCCTGAACAAAGGGAGGAGAAACACACATCTGATGAGGAGCATGTGGACAAAAGCAACAGAGAATAACGTGCTCTCATTCACATTTAATCTTACTACAGTAGGTTCAGTTATTGCTGACCTGCACAAAGACATGAAACAAATGGCAGAAACCCACCAGAAACTCACCACCACCCTCACTATTCTGAACCCAATTAAGATTTTAAGACACAATATAAAATAATGTATTCATTAGTAACGGTTTTTGCTCAGACAATGGTTCTCAAACACTTCCATGAGTCTCATACATATGAACTGATGCTAGATTCTCATGTGCATAAAATGCTCATCGAGTAGAATGACCCAGTCTCCTACACTTGATCTGTGAGAGGAGATTTTAAATTTTAAATCACAACCAAATTCAGCTACTTCTCCCCTGCTGAAGGCCGACTGGAGCATCCATAGTTCTGACTGGAGAAGAAGAACTAGAACAATATGGGTAACACATCCTCCAACTCAACCAGCAAAATAAGTCATCTGTCACTGCCTTTATAGAAAAGACCCATATGAGAGTTTTCTGATCTCACACCCCTAACAACAGGACATCAGCATTTCTCAGGGCCTTTCAAAACCACACAGGTTATGATCTTGCCCACATATAGTGCAAGTGTTATCACATGACCAAAGTTACTGTATGTACTTGACCAGTGCTAGGTAGAGCATGGATCAGGTTGCATATTTCTTTCTCTAACCTGACCCATGCCCGAGGGTGTGGAGTCTGAACGTGAACTATACTTGACAAACTTAAAGTATATAATGTCCGAATCCGGCCCGAGCCTGACACAGTATTGTATGGTGTTTTTCCCTGCAAAGTTTAAATATATAATGTATTATCACAGATCCAAAGGTCAAGCATGAGTCTTCACAAATTACAATAATTACAGTATATACTGTAACTGACTGCTACAATTTAGGCACAGAATTTTGTTAAAATTATGGAAAGATTGCGGTTTGACTCAAATGAGAGCTGCCATGCTAGCAGCTCTGTGAACGTGGACTTGCACAAAAGTGTGCAGCTAATGCTGTTCTTCAAAGGACAACCTCAATATGGGGTATTAAAAGACACCACAAGTTTATTAGGGTTTCATGGACTGTCTTAGTAGCTGTGGTCAGAGAGGTTCCTCTATCATATTAGAGATGGAGATGAACGACTGGACAATACATGAAAGGTAATAAAAGGGACATTATTGGTTTGGTAAATCACTTTCCCAGTATCCTGTTACTCGCAATTCAACTCATAGGTCTTTAAGCACCACTAGGCTTTGTGATAGGGTACAGACTGTTAAACATGTAAAGCTCCTCCATTTTGAAAATATCCAATATCATTCTTTATTATTTATACGGGAGCACCTCTGATATCAGGCATCATACTGTACACCGGACATTTCCTTTGCATCACAGCATGACTAAGCTGTTCATGTTTGTGTAAATGTCAGTGATGTTTTAGGATAGAAGCAGTTTGTTTCACATTTTAAAATCTTAACTTATTTCTTGTTTCTTAGGATGAGATGGTTTAAATAGCAGATAAAACAAAAATGTCACTATGTTATTTTTATGACTAACCTCTTTACAGGTAAATTTCAGAATAGTTTACTCCTTTATGACGAGCATTCATGTAAATCCCACCCAATCCAAGCAATGGAGCAGTTGTTTTATGTGATTGTTTTAGTGATTCACAGTAAAATGCTCAGGTGTTAATTCCTGATTTACAGAAAAAAAGGTGTACACATTTTGTACATCTTGCCTACCAATGCTTGCTCATTTCTACATTTTCAAATATTAAAATGTCTTCTAATTAAAAAAAAAAAAAAAACTTTGACCTAAATCCCACTTGTTCAGCTTTGAAGTTCCCTGCTGTAGACTTAGGTGGAGCTGATCAGCTTGTCAAAAACATAGTCCAAGTGATGTGCAAGGTGAGTGTCACATGACAGCAGGACAGAGATCACTGGTGTAAGAGTTAACCAGTGGTTGTGGTGGAGCACGTTTGTCACTACAGTTTTTGTGCACTTGTTTCTGTGATCCCTGCGTGTGTACACAGCAAATAAGTGTTCACAATTATTTGCAACAGACAATAGCTGCCTTCTCTAAAAGCTGATGAAGCTCTGGGCAGCTGCTAAAAATAAACTGTTAAATGAAGTCTGAAGGTTGAGGAAACACTGGCAGAGGTCAGTTACAGCACTGTGATACAAAATGTATATACACTGTAATATACAATATATAAACAAGAAGTACATCAACAGTGTTTGCACTGGCAGCAATGCTGTTAATCAAACACTGGGAAGTGGTCATAATCTGAAACATATGAGAAAACTGTGACTGAACTAGCAAAACTATGTAAGCAAAAATGTTTGCCTAAATCACAAGAATGTATTACTTGAATGTATGATACAAGTGTTTGAGCTCAAGTGTCCTCAGTTCTAAGGGTATTGTTTTGTCACAGAGCATGACAGAGGAGGGGTCGGGGATTTGAGTGGCACATCCATATAAAAGGACAAGGAGAATCTTTTGAACAGTTTGTCATTTTTCATTAGTCTAACTGATTCAGATGTGCTTCAACTCTGCTACCCACAAGCCCCAAAAAAGTCAGCCTCAGCAAATGTTTAATTCTAGCAATAAAGTTTTAACGTCTTCTTAAGGCTAAAACAAAAGTGATTCATTTGTGGGGTTGAAGATTTTTACAAGAAAAAGTATGAACTGATGCTATTCTGGCCGCTTATCTTGTGGAGAGGGTTGTGATGATGAACAACTGG